TTTTTTAAAGGTTGTCCATGCATCAGGACGCCATCGGTTTGACAACTTAAACATAAAAAATAGAGAACCAGTAATACCAGAGATGTGAAGATAGTTGTGTTGCGATTTCATAATTTCAATATGGAGAGATTTTGAGGGAGTAAAATTAAGATAATAAAAAAAAAACAAAAGCTTTGTCACACTTAATTTCGCAGCCTGTGCCAGGTTTACGTTACTCGGGGCTTACTATTATTTAAGAAAGTTTCAACGTCTCCTATACAAGTTTTTACTTCACTGTCCTTAATAGAAACTTGGCACTCAACGCAATCGCGACTGAAATGAACGGACTTATCAAAGGCTTTCTTGTTTATAAAGAGGATAGAGGGACTTAATTTATTACACTACTATCTTACCTGCCAGTTGCAAAGAATTACATTTTGGAGATAAGTTCGGGTAAAAAGTATAAGTTTTTCGAAGTTTAGTTTTTCGAAACATTTTTCTATCCAAATATTTGTAATAATAATTCACAATAATTCTTGCAAGCCTCTTACCTGGCCCTAATACCTAACCTAATAGAGCCATCCATGTGTAAGTTGATTGTGTTTGTTGATGTATATTGTGTTTGTTGATTATATGATGGGTTTGTCGGCTACAATTCGTCGAAGTAGGGTTTTGTACGATGAGGATCGCTTTTGAATAGAATTGTATTGAGAGTATTTCGTAAACATTCTTATCAAATTATATATAGCAAATTTTAAACAGAATGACCACCGAACAGGTTGCTTAAGAGTTCATACTCAGTTCTGAATTAATTTTACTACGCACTGATTTTAAGTGACAATTTTAGAGCTTAAAAATGTTTTGCTTTGTTCCAGGGGCCATTTTAAAAGTGTAACTAATAGCAACATTTCAATATTACCAATTTAACTGTAGTGGACTCGACGCTCGTTCAATTTGTCGAGGCAGCACTGACAGTTTTTCATTAATTCAGACAAATTAAAAAAAGCGAATGATACGAGCGGTATCAGTATTTTCAATTAACCTAGCAAAATGTACGTGCAGCTGTGTCAATGCCATAAATTTTAATTCATATATCGGACACACGTCTTCATACTCCGGTGTTTAAATTTGTTGACTCTTTGTATTAGATATAAGGGAGAACTAAAATGATGAATTTTAGCTTCTATCGGTTTCAATGGTAAGTAATAAATAACAGATCTCAATCTTATAATATTGATTGAGATATTTTGTAACATGTTAGTTACTAATATTTAAATGAGAAATCTAAAAAAGTAAAAACTAATTGGCACGACTTTTATATTTCACATTATTTAGCCGTGTTAGTTCAATATGGCCTTTAATTTAGTAAACTCGAGCAAACTGATAAAAAATTACGAAGCTCACTTCAATAGAATAGCAGAAGGCTCGAGTAGAGTGTTTGGCCACATGGTCTCGTGTCAATTGCACAGACACGGCACCATGTGGCCAAACACCCGGTCTTAACACCCAGAGATCGCGGGCCTGCCAAGACGACACTTGCGCCGAGGTTCGCGGAAGATTGCGTTCTCGTGTCCCCAGCAAAAGCGATAAGGAGGGTGCAAGGTGCGTTTAGTGGGTACTCTGAAATTAGGGACATCCACATACCTTTCCTCCCCACATGCGCTACTTTCTTAGGTCTTACTTCTTCTAATGCTTGAGATTATAAAAAGCTTCTTCTAATGACGCCGGGGAATTTGGGCAAATAAAAGCGTTCAATTTTCGTGAGGTCGTAATTTTGCCTTGCTAATTAACTGTATTAACCGGAATGCTAATCTTTTCGCTTACTCTTGAAGTGTGCTGAGTAAAATAAAATGTTAAGATGTATTTTTTGCGTTACTCAAGGATGGGCGAAGTAACTCATAAAATACGTATAATTTTTAAATAGATTACATATACGGCATTTAAGTCTTCAGTTTATTTTTAGTTCATTATATGAAATAAGAACATGAACGCTGTAAGGGGAACGCCGGGAATTAAAATTAAAAGATGAATCCATAAACATGGTTCCATTTGGTAATGTGTAATCGCGTAAATACAAGAATATATTACAAAAATAATGGATTTTGAAAAACTAATCTTTAAAAATATGTACAAAGAAAATCCTTTTGGAAACTCATTTTTTTTACCTTTAAAGGTCTTTCGAATATCGTTAGCGTAATTAATTTACAAATGACACTGTTTTGTCACGGAACTTCGTGTCGAAAACTCCTATGACTAGATACAGACGTTGCGTTGCATGCTTTTACTTTAAACGATTTCATCGTTCAAACATTTGGACGCCATTAGTGGGATTGAATGCTTTAGGCAAACAACGAAATTTCGCTGAACTACCGAACTCACTTCCTACTTGACGTTGAAGATTGTGTTATTTAGTTAGATTAGATTCATGACTCTTAACCAACGAAAAACAGGTCTGTTACCTGTACTGGACTTTAAAAAACACTAATTTTCTGTAGGTTCTTCGGATTAAAAAGATGTAATCAAAACTACGTATTGACCAAAGTGGATATTGAACCTGTCTCTGGCGCCAGAGGGTGTTGGTTCGATCCCCACTAAGGGAAAAATATTGTGTGATGAGGAAACCTAGTGTTTTTCTAGTGTCTGGGTGTTTATATATCTTTAATATTAGGGTTCCGTGGCGCCAGTAAGACAAGAAGACATCTTGCGTGGTTCTTAGGTCAGGTTTGGGGTGCTCAAATGTCCGTTCCAACTCTAAGGCGATTGGTCGCAGTTGATACCTGTGTATAATAACTTTCTATATCAATATCAACCAATATCAGCCTATTGCCGTCCACTGCTGAACGTAAGCCTCCCCCAAACTGCGCAAACTATCCGAGTCCTGGGCGGCCCGTATCCATCCGCAGTCTCTTTCTTAAGTCGTCAGTCCATCATGCTGCAGGCCGTCCCACACTACGTTTCCCTAACCGTGGTGTCCACTCTAACACGTGTCGGCTCCAGCGACCATCAGTACGTCTGGAAACATGATCTGCCCACTTCCACTTCAGCGGCTAATTCTGCGCGCAAATTGATCATGCTGCCACTTCCACTTCAGCGTGCTAATTCTGCGCGCAAATTGATCTTCGCAATACACCAGTGTTTTGGTAATAAGGTTCACTTTCTTTGTAGGGATTGGTAACAGAAATACGGTGTCAATAGTACGCTGGTTTATTTGCAACTGACTTTAAAAACAACTTTTTCTATAATAAATGGTTACACACACATGCATACCGTACATCTTACTCGCGCACACATAAATATACGTATTACATCGAACATACCGCCCACCAAAGGGCTTATAAAGTCCTTTCATAAATATACTTAACACATTTAAATTACATTAAGTATGATAAACAAAATCCTTTCATTAACAATTTTTACTGTGTATCTAATTACATTTTACCTGATTGAAATAAGTTAAATAACATATATTTAAAATTTAACAAAAAAAAACTTACAACATGATAATAATAACTTCAAAAATACTTAGCCTAAATACATAAAGGCATGCACAAATTAGCGATTTAACATAACTTATGATTTTAAATAATGAAAGATGTACTAATCTAAATCTATTGGTAAAGGGCACAATTTGATGGTTGGTCTCTGCACTACACTATCACCACTTTTAACACTATACACTCTAGTCACTCCATCAGGACCTGGGTGTTTATTCACAATTCGACCCAACATCCATTTACCAGGTGGAAGATTATCACATTTGATGAGAACAATGCTTCCGATCTTAAATTCCATAATCTTCCTAAGCCATTTGGGTCTTTGTTGTAGCCTAGTTAAGTACTCTTGTTGCCATCTGTTCCAGAAATTAGCCATAAGCTTCTGTAAGTGCTGCCATCGCGACAAATTACTGACAGGTATATCTTTCAGGTCAGGTTGAGGGATATTGATTGGAGCTTCGCCGATCAGGAAGTGTCCAGGAGTAAGTGGCAATATAGTGTCTGTATCCGAGTTATCTATAGGGCTTAAAGGTCGTGAGTTAAGACAGGCTTCGACTTGGCATAACAGGGTAGTCATCTCTTCATAAGTGAGGTTGGAAGTCAATATCCTTCTCAAGTGGTACTTCATAGACTTCACGCCTGCTTCCCATAATCCACCCATGTGTGGGCTGTAGGCTGGGATGAAGTGCCACTGCGTGCCATCTAATGCAAGCTTTTCTGCTACCTGGCCGTCAAATTTCAACTTTGCTTCTTCCCAAGCTGCTTTAAGCTCTTTGTTTGCGCCCACGAAGTTTCTTCCTTGGTCGCTCCAGATATGTGCGCAACTTCCTCTTCGTGCTACAAATCTTTTGAAAGCTCCGATAAACGCTTCTGAACTAAGATCTCCGACTAGCTCTAGGTGTATAGCTTTTACAGACATACAAACAAAGATGGCGATATATCCTTTTGTAGTTTTTGAACCTCTGCCCTTCGACATGAGTATTTGATAAGGACCAGCAAAGTCTATTCCGCTATTCATAAAAGGTCGAGCTGGTGTGACTCTAACACGAGGTAAGTCTCCCATTATTTGAGATTTAGCTGCAGCATTTTGTTTAGCACAAATAAGGCATTTTTTTATTTTTAGTTTTACAATGTTCTTTGCTTTAAGAATCCAGTATTTAGATCTCAAATATCCGAGCATCAGTTGCATTCCACCGTGTAACGTCTTCAGGTGAGCATCAGCCACAATAAGTGCAGTTAAACTGTTATTACAGTCTAGAATAACAGGATGTTTAGCATCTTCGGTAAGATCAGAGTGACGTAATCGACCGCCCACCCTGAGAATCTCTTCTTCATCCAGGTAAGGTAGAATAGATTTAATTTTACTTCCATTTTTTACTTTTCCTTTTGTTTTTAAATTTTGTATGTCTTCTTCAAAGTAATCTTTCTGAACGATCCTTATGCATGTTTTTAACGCCTCATCTAATTCCTTTGTAGTTATACTTTTAGTGTTAATTCCTAGTTTTCTTTGCATTTAAAAATCTTTTGCAGTATGTTATTACCTTTAATAATTCTGTTAGATTATCAAATTGATC